GGGTTTAAGAGTTTTTAAGAGTTTTAGTCAAATGTTTTATAAGATAGTATATATATATATATATATATATATATATATATATATATATATATATTTGGGATCATGTGAGACCAAGAGTTTTTCATGAGACCCGTAAAACCAATTCTCAACCATTGGATTATATATATAATCTAAACATTCATAATCACAAACTTGTCACGAGACTCCTCAATAATCACAAAGTTGCAACCGTGCAACTTTAGACCATTAGCTTATAAAGCTGATCAATGTATATAAATTGGTCTTACGGGTCTCACGAAAAACCTTTAAACTTTTTTAAACCTTCACAATGTTTTTGTTGTGAAGTTTCAAGTGTAAAAATGTGGTCTCATGTGTCTCACGAAAACAACATGGTCTCACGTGAACCCAACCATATATATATATATATATATATATATATATATAGTCGGGTTCATGTGAAACCAGCCTGTTTTCGCGAGACCCGTGAGACAACTTTTTTACACTTGAAACTTCACAGCAAAATATTGTGAAAGTAAAAGAATTCGAACCTTCACAGCAAAAGCACTTTGAAGGTTACCTTCACAACTTTTTACTGTGAAATTTCAAGTGTAAAAAATTGGTCTCACGTATCTCACGAAAACATACTGGTCTCACATGATACCCGGTCTCTCTCTCTCTCTCTCTATATATATATATATATATATATATGTATAGGTTAATTTCAAGGGAGAACTGATTTGTTTGTGATAACTGCGAGATCCAATCTCAACCACAAATCAATAGATAAATTAGGAAACTAATATTTTTGGTAATTTGACTTAAAATTATAATTAAAGGGTATTTTAGGTATTTTAAAAATTTTATCTCCCATCTCTCTCTCTCTCTCCTACCTCTGATCTCCGATAAACACCATGTGATACCCAAAATACATCAAGATACACAATGTGATATCCAAAATACATACAATGTGATACCCAAAACATATCAAGTAAACTTTGAAATCACTGTAATACCAACTGTGGTACCACTGTCACAGGCGGGTGTTTAGTGGTCGATCATCGAATAGGGTGCCTTGGTCAGACAAGATGACCAGAAGAGGTCACTGGAGTGGTGTGGGTGTCACAGAAGACCACCGGATTTGGTCCATATGCGTCCATGTGTGTGTGTATATATACATATATTAAAATAATTAAACTAATTAAAATAAATTAGAATATTAAACTAATTAAATTAAAGTGAATAATCAACACAATTTACTAATTTACTGTTTGTTTTATTTTAATAAATAACATTAATTATTTAAAATGATTAACTCATATTATACCTTACAGTTACCACAAACTATTTAATATATATATATATATATAATTCCATTAAATAAGCATTTTTGAAGCACGTGAATATATTAATTTAAAACATTTGTATAGTAAATTACACTCCTCCATGTGATTATATGAAAGTTATAGATTAGGTCCCTCACTTTTTTTATGGTAGGGTCCTTGTGGTTTTACTTTCCTTATGAAGGGTCCTTAACACTAACTCGGTTAATTTGCTTCGTTAAGTATGAGGTATTTTCATCTTTTTACAACAACAAAAAATTGATTAACCTGGATATTCAACCTGCTATGCAAACTAACTAATTCTAGGGTGACCACCTGCTTTGCAGATAGCCCGGAGTCACCGCATGTGAACCCACGTGGCGACAAAGGGGATTTTTATTCTTCTTTTCTAAAACTATGTTTAGTATCTATACTATATTATAAAACATTTAACAAAAACTCTTAAAAATCATTCTTTATGCATAAAGTATTGTATATTAATGCATATTATTTAAAATTTAAGATTACAAGTAAATTATGCGTAAGTACAACTTATCAAAGTTTTATTTTTGAATTCGTATAACTAACTGCATATAAACATAATCAAATACATGATAAACATCTCATTTTAAATATAAAAAATCTAAAATATAATTAGGATAATCATTAAGTTCGAAGAGAATCATTATCTTTATAAATTTTTATTGTTAAGTCAAAAATAAATTACTTCACTATTTGATCTAAATTAAATTATAATAAAAATTGAATTAAATAAATTATACAAAAAAAACGATAACTTTTAAATAGTTAATTTGATATTAATATCGATATAGTTTTTTTAAAATCTAGAGATGTCTTCAAATTTATTTTTATTCAAACGTAAAAACATTATATTTCTCAAAAACCACATAAATTGTATTATATCAACAAAGACAAAAAATAAAATGAAACATTAAAATGAAGATATATTTCGCTACATTGTGCAAGTACTTTTCTAGTTATATATATATATATTGTCCATGTCCTGAGACACTCCACCCCCCTCCCAGCGTTAGTGACCCTTCCCCCATCACGTCTACTTTTCTAGCGACATCTGCCACTGTCAGCTTTCTCCTTTCTGGCCACGTGATCTTTTGTCACACATAATCCTCCCCCCTCCCTCGATATCCACGTCTCTCTCTCCCTCTCTCGTCACCCCACCCCTTCCCGCTACCATCATCGCCCTCCAAACTCATGGACAGACGAGAGAAACTTCGCCTTCCAAGAATGCCTTCTCGATCTCATTTTGGAACCAAGACATTCTCAAATAGCTCGACCACTACGTCTTCCAGATCCATTTTTACGATGATCTTCGTTTCCAATAACTCCCACCATCACTTTTTCTCCCTACACCAACAAAAACCTCCTCACCACCACCGTCCTTGTACACATACTCACCTTGTTTTTTAGGGTTTTTTTCATGGCTCTCATTTTGATTTTGTGTTTGATTTAATTGAACACAGGGATTGGTTTGATTTTACGATTTTGGGTTTCATTCTCGTTTTTAGGATGCAAGATGTGTGGATTGGTTTGGTTTAAAAATTCTGGGTTTCATTTTCGTTTTTCAAGATACATTTGTGTGGAGTGGTTTGGTTTTAAAATTTGTTTGAAAGTTGAGGGTGTATTTTGAAACTTGATTTCTAAAATATCTCTTACATCCACCGCCTCTTTTTGGTGCATGTGTTTTTTTTTGGGTGGGAAATTGAAAGAGATAGGAAAGAAAGTGTGTGCTTTTTTGCTCCCTAGGTGGAACAAACAGACGAAGAAGAAGAAGAAGAAATTGTTACGTATTTTTGATTGATCTATTGTTGATGTTAAAGTTTTCATTTCTTTGTGATTATAAGGTAAATTTTAATTTAAAAGCATTACTTGATTTGCTTTTGGTAAAGTAATCATATAGTTTCATGTTTCAATATGTGGGTGTTTTGAAATTGATTAAATGTTAACTTTATATTGAGATTTGATATGTTTTGAAATTGATTAAATGTTAACAAAGTGGGGTTAATCGCATCAATGTGATGCGACAAAGTGAGGTAATTGCATCTGTATGATGCGAGAAAATGTGTTATCGTATATGAATGGTGCGAGTATGTTATCGCATCTGAATGATGCGACAAGTTTATGTAATATTAGTATGATGTGACAAATGGGTTATTTTGTTGTTTAATGCAATGAATTGAAGTTGTCTCATCTATACGATACGACAAAGAGATTTGTTTCAATAAAACATTGTTTATTTGTTATTAATACAAATATGGGATTTCTAAAAGTGTGTGTGAATTTCACCTATAATAGTAATAAAAAGAGAATCACTCGCTAGATCTTGTGGTTTAACCCTCATTTTGTGTTTAAAATGTACGTTACAGGTCAGATACAAATTGAAAGTAAAAGGAATAGAAAGATTTGTAGGGGATTATGTTTATTTTACATGTATGGATTTTTGAGAAGATGACTATGTGCATGTATCTGAGAAAATGCTATATGCAAATCATGTACTTGATGTGGACGAAAAACTTGTAGCTACTTTTTATATATGTAGCAATTTGTACACAGGGACTAATCTATAATTATTGTATTTCATGTTATATGAAATATGTGGTTTATACGCAAATGTGGAAAGGGGACCGAGTTTGAACATACTTGACTTTTTAACATAATAGCTTGTTAATGAGATATTGTGATGTACATTGTGTACATCGGAACCATTGGTGTCATATGTTTTTGAAAACTAAATCTATATTATCTAATTTGGCGTCTAAATGTTTATGCATGACAAGAAATATGCACATAAACCATGAAGTCACTGAATTACGTAACTTACTATCAGTATTAGAACTGAAGCTGCAATTGATTTATTACATCATATAAACACTCGGTGATAAAATAAAACCAAAAAGCCACAAAAGTTGAAAGAATATTTACAAAAGGAGCAAACGGGAGAAGTAAGAGTCGAAGAAACGCATTGGGTGTTGCTTTTTTCTTCCTCCTATAGAACTCCACTCTAAGCTCCATCAACCCAACACGATTTGGGTCGGGTCGGGTCGGGTTGCAACCCGAAACCGCACTTATTGTCTACTACCATAATAAAACCTGCAAAACAAAGAAGAAACAACAAAAATATATATGTATTATTGAAGTCAAAATTAGTCAAAGACCCATGAAAGTATGTAAGTTGACGAGGGTATAACTGTAAATAACCTTGATTAGTTAAAATTACAATAAATTTGATGATGATTGTAAAAGGGACTGTGGATGTCGATGTTAATTTGTCTGTTAATGGAACACGTTTGACTCTCTATCACACTTTTGACTTTAGACAGTGATGTTTCCATCATCATCCCTACCAACTCCCATTTATATATAACAGATTGGAATTATCTGAAACCACCCACTTTTTGTTTTACATCATTCCCAGAAAAACCAAAAGATTTAGGTGTCATTTATCAAACACCGATCGAAAAAATGCTTCTCGAGTGTCTTTCCAAGACGATCGTGTGGACATGACAAAGACCAAGATTCATAAGAAACATTAGTAATAACGGATAACCCGGAAAAGATCTTACATTGTGATAAGTGTTCACCGGTAAAAAAACGATTACCAACAACCATTTTGATGACCGAGAATTTTACAGACAAAAGCGTACGCCGACGAAAGCAAGTTGTGATTTTAAATTCAAAATATATATTTTAAATGATAATCGACCTAAAAAGGAATATTTATTTCTAAAATGGAGATGATGCATTTGGAAAAGGATAGATTTTAATTAGTATACAACAAATGGTTAGATATGGCTGAAATATAAAATGCAGACAAAAATGTAGCGTTTTCATACCATTCAGTCATCCACACACGTATTATTACTATTGCTTTTTGGATTAAAATTGCACAGCTAGAAACAATACCTGGGTCATCATCCCCGGAAAATGACCTTTTCAGCCATATCCATCAATGGCAGCAAGCAATCCGGCGAAAATTTCCGGGCAAAAAGGTATGAGAAGCTCGAGTTTGAAACTCTCAGTGACCGGATTAGCTCCGGCGAAACCTCCGACGGATGGTATGTATGTGGGTGACCATTCACACTGCCTGTCCAATTGACTCGAGTGAGGGTATACTCGCTGACTCCCTTTGGATCCTCCATCGACAAAAGCGTTGGAAAGTAATGTTCTTCCGGGTAACACGAATGCACGTTCAAACATGGCAATCGGAACTTCCTCCATAGCTTCCGGTCCTTGACTACCAACAAAGAGTGCGCTCGGGTCAACGTATAGAACTGCGACCCGATCCGGAATTTATCAAACGGAACCTCCGGTAACATGGCGTTTTTGCCCCTGGCGGTGTACCGGTCCCACAGTTGGGGTTCCTCCGATAACACCTCTATGAAACTGAGTCGAGTCGGGAACCAAGTCGACTCAGTGGGCGGTTTGAATAGCGTTTTGTATACATAACGGAAGGAATGCAAGGGGATACAATGTTGGGAGACGAGAGCGAAGTAAGAATTTAGCGGGTCATCGAGGATGGCGGTAGCCAGTAGGCGGCGAGCGGCGGAGATGAGAGTCGGAGAAGATCTCTGGGTTTTTTTAGCGGGAATAAAGCGGTTTTCGAAGACGCCGCCGGGGGATTTCACGTCGGAATCTGGATCGGCGTGGATGTATATATTATACAGATTTCGTTGATTCGATTTCGAGGGGTTGAAGAACTTCTCCCAGAGAGGGGCAAAATGGAGATCAGTGTTGGTGAGGAAGAGAAAAGCGATTTTGGGTTTAGCGTTGGTGGAACCCAGACGGGAGACAGATCCCGGCGGGTGAACGGAAGAGAGGATGGCTCGCCGGAAAAGGGCGAGGTCGTCAAGCTCGTCGGGAATAGAGATTGTAAGGCGTCTAGGAGGGAGGATTCGAGGGGCGAAGAGGAACAAGAGAGGTAGGGTAAGTAAGAGAGCAAACAAGAGTACAAATGGGGTGTTAAACATAGCTCAGAATCTGCACTGAACCTTGCCAGAAAAAGGGGAGAGGAAGAAGAAGATGAAGAGAAAGGGAGGCATGCGGGGGGTGGAGTGGGTTTCAATGAAAGTAGGGATGATGATGATGATGAAGAAGATGATGAAATGGTAAAGCGACAAGCAAATGGAATGGAGGTTGTACTTCTATGTGAGGGTGCAGGGGAGGATATCTGGACGCTTTAATCATAGTGCGCCACGTCACCAATCCTCGTTTCAATGGTTTGGATCAAGACAACAACCTCTTTCGATAAAATAATTATTCGGGTAAACTTCACTTTTGATCCCTCAAGTTCATTGATTTCTTTAAAAGTTGGGCCTAAATTCCAATAAGTCAAGATTTTATCCCTAAGGTTAGATTTGTTTTGAAAATGGGACTTCATCACTAACTCCGTTAAAAACATCCATTAGAGTCAGGGGTAACATTGTTTAAGAGGTTCTTTGTTTACCTCTTAATAGTTCTATTAAAAGGAAATCTTTGAATTATTAAGAGATAAATTTTGTTTGGCCAATTTTTTTGCCTCTTAATTGTTCTAAAACTCTCTTAATTCTTTTGTATCATGGGTCTCCTTTAACCATTAAACGTCCTAATTTCGTTGTAAATAATTACACAACAATGATATTTTATTTTGCACTGTATCATGAGAGCATCTTAATCATTCTGATCACTTAGAGGCAGTTTAGCAATTGCGGAATGTTTTGGTGCAGAATGATTAAGTGGTCAGAATAATTAAAAGACTCTCATGATATAGTGAAAAATGAAATATAATTGTTAGACAATTGTTTGCAATGAAATTATGGCGCTGAATGGTTAAGGGAGACCTATGATACAAAATCATTCAGAGGGTTTTACAACTATTAAAAGGCAAAAAAGAAATTGTCAAACAAGATTCACCTCTTAATGATTCAGATATTGTTTCTTAATTGAACTATTAAGAGATAAACAAACAACTTAATCATTCAGCATTAGACAACTCTTAAGTATATTTTCCCTCTATTTTAGATTTTTTTGTTATTTCTTATTTTGTAAAAACTATCAAAGTAAAGAGTCCAACACTATAATTAACAAAACACACACACACACACACACACACACATATATATATATATATATATATATATATATA